AGATGGAATAGGCTGGTTGGGCGGGTGAATGAGAATGTTATCAGATCTAACGGAAGGAACATGTGGTTCCTCGTTAGATTGATGCCTGTGTTCCGCTATTAACCTGTAAAAAAATCTAAAATATTAGAAACCATTTTATTTAATCAAAAAATAACACACACAACAAAAAAAAAAAAATTAAACTCTAAAAAAAATTAAAACAATTAAAAAAAAGACGAGAGAAAAAAAATTAAAAAATAAAATAAAAAACACATACAAACACAAACACTTAGAAAAAAAATTGAAAAACAAGTTGACCGGATTAGAAGTCCGGACAACATACAAACATTCTAACACTTTTAAAAGAAAAACATAGTTGTGACCGGATTAGAAGTCCGGACAACATATCATTCACTCACAAAAATTACTAAGTCTAAAAATGAAAAAGATTTTAATCGGACAATCATCAACCGGATTAAGGTTGATCGGATTGAACTCCGATCACCTTGTCCGGTGAAATATCCGTTCAACACACAATTCACACACAATAATTTTTTTTTCAAAAATACACACTAAAATGAAAAAAACAAAATACACACAAAACAACCAAAATACACTAAAAAAGAAATCAAAATGCACAAAATACACAATCAAACCAAGATAAAACCATTTTTATTTGAGTTTATGCTTTTATTATTCCATTTTCAGATTCGATTATGAAGGTATTGAGAAGATAAAGTCCAACAGTCCAAATGTTCAAAGTAAATCTATACGATCAAGGTATGTGTATAAGGAATCAAATGATATAAACCTTGATTTAAGAAAGATGAAACTGTAGAATGGATTGACAGAGTAGATCTTTGAACGTAGAACCAGAGTTGAGCGGAGACGACGATGAACAGTTAAAGGAGATAAAAAGTAAAAAAGTAAAAATGAGTCGACTATTTATACTCAAAGTCAAAAACCATTCAGATTCTAAATCGCTCAAAGCTTATCCGGATTAGAATAAACCGGTCAAGAGATGTCCGATTTATGTGATGAAAAATATCTAAGTGATAATCCGGACAATAAATCGCTCAAGGCATGTACGATTTAGAAGAAAAATGGTCAAGACTTGTCCGGTTTAAGGATAAATCGCTCAAAGAAGAAATTAATCGCTCAAAGATAGGATTAAACCGCTCAACGATTGAACGATTTAAAGACTTGGAAAAATTGAATTCAACAAACGATTTAAGGAATACGAACACATGAACTCATCGATTTAGTTATCCGCTCAATCCCTTGCAAAGTATATCTAATCTTATCCGGATAAGAGGTGCTCATATAGCCTTTTGTCCGTATATCTAAATCGGACAATAAATCAATCAAGTGTTGTCCGGATTTTTTTTAATAAATCGGACAAGCATTGTCCGGATTAGACTAAATCGGCCAAATACTTATATTTCAAAACTCAATTATCTTTCAAAAATTAGATAATACTTAAAATACTTGTAAGAAAAATATAAGCTATTAGTTCAAAACAGATAAAATT